TGATGAGACCCTCTCTCTATAAAACAATTCTAAAAATAGTAAAAGAAAAAAAATGAAGGTATGGTTAAAAATATACTAGAAATCATTAACAAAAGACAACTGCAGAAGCCGTAATATCAGACAAAATAGATTAAAAATTATTAATCAAGATAGAAAGGATTGAATTCCATTTCTAAACTTGTATGCATCTATTAAAGTAGTCTCAAAGTTTATAGAACTGCACGGATAAATAAATAAGCCAGTAGATAATAAATTGCTATTGGGGGCTCAGTGGCTAAGGCAGCAGCCAAGTACACCAGAGCTGGCGGGTTCGAATTCAGCCCTGGCCTGCCAAACAACAGTGACAACTACAAACACAAAATAGCCGGGTGTAGTGGTGGGTGCCTGTAGTCCCAACTACTTGGGAGGCTGAGACAAGAGAATCAATTAAGAGTTGGAGGTTGCTGTGAGCGGTGATGCCACAGCACTCTACCCAGAGTGACAGCTTGAGACTATCTCAAAGAATAAATAAATAAATTGCTATTGGGTATAAATCTCCCAGATATCAGCACATTTGTTTACCATGTAAATATACCACAATGTATTTAACTAGTTCTTACTGATGGACCTTAAAATTTCTTTCTAGTGAAAAGGAACTTTAAAGCCAGGTGTTGCCACAGTCATTCAGACAAATACTGAGAATATTATGTCAAATACAGTAACATATTTAGACTATGAGGTCCAAACAAAATATTTACAGTGTAAATCTGTATCTTGCCTTTGTAGAAATGATCATAATGACCAGTTTCAGGTAGCCATGTATGACAAGCAAATAGCTTCTATTTCAGAAAAAAATATTTTGTATTAGTCTGTTTTTCTTTCTTTTATTTTTTTCAAGGAATATGGCATTGTTATAACGAATACGACACTCTTCGGAAAAATCCAAATGCTCCACAAACTTTATATGACATCGGGATTCAGACTGATATAACATTGTACTTTCGGCTGAAACAAATATGGTTCGCGTTTAGTGAGTAGATTTTAAAAACTGGTTTTATTAAAATTTTAGTCATAAGAAAGTACATTTTTGTCTGAAGGAAAGCTTGGATTGGTGGAACCTGTTAATTATCATATGCCACAAAGGCAATGTGTCTACAGTCCTCTAACTATAATAAATATATTGTAGAATCTAAGAAAAGATTACTTTACAAGGATTTCAAGCCATTTGCCTTCAACTGAAAATGATTTGGTTGTGAAAATTTATAGACGTTAACCTGATGTCTAAGGAAATTTATGGAGAAACTAATGCTCGACTTTTCAAACTTGCCTTTTACAAGGAAAAAGAAAAAGTAAGAAACAACATTTTTTCACAACAAAACATTTTAACTCTTATAGAAATTATAAGTAACTGAAAATAAATTTACATTTTTTGAAGTGATTATTCAAATGATTGTATGTATGAAGTCTGTTAAGTTTGCAAACTGGTCCTAGAAAAAATGTACCACATTGCTGAATATCACTGTGGTCACCTTCTAAGTGGTCCCCTTGGGAACCAGTGCCTGGTCCACCCTTCAGAGCAGTTTTGGAACTCTTTTTCTGAAATGGCCATCAGAGCCAATATCATATTACTCTTGGTATCCTGAATGTCATCAAAATGTTTTCCTTTCAGTATTTCTTTTATGTTTGGGTAAGGAAAAAAGTCGTTGGGGGCCAGATCAGGTGAGTAGGGAGGGTATTCCAATACAGTCGCTTGTTACTAGGTAAAAACTCCCTCACAGACAGTGCTGTGTGAGCTGGCCCATTGTCGTGGTGCAAGAGCCACACTTTCCTCATGTCAAGATTTTTATTTACGATTTTCCTGTTTCTCTGTCAATATTTACTTGGGCTGCTGTGCTTCTCGCAGTCAGCTGATGACTTTGATGCACAATTTGACAAATTTTTGTAATTTTTTATCAGTTCTGCTCTTTACTGGCCACCCTGACCTCTCTTCATCAGCGATGTTTTCTCTCCCCTCAGAAAGATGTTTAATCCATTTGTACACGGCTGTTTTCTTCATGGCATGATCCCTATAAACCTGGATTAACACATGCTATTTCTAGCCCTAATGCAGACTAGGACACTTCACTTATATTACCAGGTTTAACAAACATTAGATAATGTTTGTTCATTGCTCTAATTCAAGCTCTGACATTCTCACGATGGCACACAAAAACACAGAACACCAATAATGAATGCCACTGTGTCGAGATACTGCCACACTCTGACACAGACACCGCTGTGAGACACTGTGCCACACCCTGACACAGACACTGCTGTGAGACACTGTGCCACACACTGACACAGACACCGCTCTGAGACATTGTGCCACACACTGACACAGACACCGCTGTGAGACACTGTGCCACACCCTGACACAGACACCGCTGTGAGACACTGTGCCACACCCTGACACAGACACCGCTCTGAGACACTGTGCCACACACTGACACAGACACCGCTCTAAGACACTGTGCCACACACTGACACAGACACCGCTCTGAGACACTGATATCCCAGAGTTAGGAAACCTTACTGAGTTTGCACAGTGCTGCCAATGTAAGCACACGGCACACGTGTACATAGTTCACTCTCAGACCTTGTATCTGTTGGGATAATGTTAACATTTTTAAAGCAAAATGATTTCAGAGATGGATTTATTATAATATTCCTTGTACTTGACAGATATGTGTTCTTTAATCAAGATTTTAAAAGTCAACTTTAATTACATGTTGCTTTAAAAAAAAAATCATCTTTATATTGTTGAAGTTAAAGAGCCAGGTGAGACATAGAAAGGGTTGAGGGAGCCCAGAAGAACCTCAGGTGGGCCCCACATCCTGGTGGGGCACCATGACGTGGGTCCCATCTTGTACGTTTGAAAACTTGGTTTTGCTGCTTCATTCAAGAATCCTTGGGCTTTCAAAGACAAGTTCATGTTATGTCACCCGAGTATCATTTTATTTGTTTGTACCACGACAATACTGTCTTGGTGACCAAAGTGTAGACATATCCCTTCTGTCCTGAGGTCCAGGTATACAGGGAGCAAGATTACCAATCAAAAGCTTTTTAAGCAAAGGGGCTTCCACAGCCTTGGGGAGGCTTTCTTCAGGCTGACGCCAACCTTGATGACCTAGCTGTGCACCAAAGATGTCCCCACCAGACTCCTTTTGTCTGCTAGACTTAGTTTTTCTCTTTTCCTTGAATGATATTGGTTCAAAATGCTAAAGTCTTTCTCTTTGGCTTCCCTTCCCTAGCCCTTGTGCAGACGAGTACACTTCACTTACATTATTTTTTCAAATCGGCTACAGAAGAACTATTTCAC